TTAAACCACGCAGAACCTCATGATGAAAGCTACCGAGTCCCCATGCGATTCCAGTCGCGAGGAACGGCTCGTTTCATCTGTAAATCGGGTCGCGGCTCCTTCTAATCGGGATAAAAAGCCAGCGGTAAAAATGCCAGTCAACGTTTATTTTTACCAGCAGAAAGGCGTCCAACCTCCGCGAGCCTGTTTCTCAGAGACATGCATCGCGAAACAGAGAATCGGTGATTTCGCGCAGGCATCGTCTGGCCTGCTGGTCGAGTGCGTACTCGTAAAATCCCAGCCCGTGGTTTTTCCGACTTTAGGTCGACGTAGTGTCGACGAACTATTGATTCGCCGCGTTCCCTTGCCTAGGCGGCAACGTCTCAGTGCCGTACGATTTTCTCAGCCAGAGAAATCGTCGAAAAAATTCCTTTATCGGCATAACGAGCTTCCAATTGAAGAAGAATGTTCACGAGCTTTGGGAGAATATTCGAGGATCGTATAACTTTATTGTTCAGCCACGAGATGGCAGAAATTAAATTGGAATAATAAATAATAAGAATAAGAGTATTTTTTTTTTATCTTTGATATTCATTGGTTTCGTGTGAATTGCTCCAGGATTGGGCAAATAAAGTTTATTTATTTATTTGTTATTCCAAGTTTTTGGCTAGATAAGAATTTTGCTCCCCTCTGACCCAGACCTCGAAATAGCCTGGAGTAATTGCAAGATTACTTGAACGACTTTATCGTACACTGAGAGTTAAGTTTCTTTTGAGAAACTACCAAACATATAGAGATCTATTATTCGTAAGAGATGTGTGTCTAAGGTTAAATAGTTAGAATCAAATGTATAACTATTTTTGCTCTTTAAGCAAAAAATGACTGAAGAAGAGTCTTTGGTTCTACGAACAAAACACAATGTTAACATACTTACATTCAACATACTTATGTATGTATATTATGTATGTATACTTATCTATCATACCTGCATTTGGTATCATACATTCCTCTTTACATATCTCTTTACACATATATGTATAAGGAAATATACAATTTCTGATGTTAACTTTAGGAACAGTATATACTACAGCATATGTATACTACATATCTAATCTCTTGCAATAAACGAATGTTTACTTTCCACGGTGCTATACCACGCCGCGCAACGAGAACGTTAAATAAAATGAATATAGTAAAAGAATATACGCTTGAAGGTTGTTACGCAAGCTGGACATTCGTCTCTGGGTAATTCAGAACAGAAATGAAACTCCCCCGAACTCTCCGCAAACAAAGTCTTCCGCTAATCTCACCATTCGTTCCCATTCGACCGTCGACAAATGCGTTAATCGTAAATAACGATTTCTATTCGTTTTGCCGAATGGGCATGTCGCGCGACCCCCAGGCGCTGTCCCCATTGTACGTTATAGAATCAGGTCCGCTGTGAACCGAAATAACGGAGATAGAGACTCTATTCGACGAGATTGTATCGCTTTATTGTTGGAACTTTTAAGTGTACGACAAAGCAGTATAATTAATCCTCTAATTAATGCAAACGCTGCTAAATATAAAAGAGTATCGAATCGAGAGTAAACGAATATCTTTTGTTTCTGATTTATTCGTCTGAATTTATTATTGTGTCCGACCCTAAAGGTCGTCGTCGGATGTAAACACTAAAAGCTATTTCTATCATCCTCAAAAGAAAAAATGTTATGACAATTTGCGGTCCGTAGGTGGCGAATAAAATTTAAACGAGAGACGTTACTGGGTGATGGGGCGATTCGTTTTGTGGCTTCGGTTCTCCCAAAGAAGGAACGACGAAAACGGATACGACCACGGTTTATCGTACCTGAGCCGAATGTACAGACCGCATTGTGCATAAACGTGGCATGTACGCATATATTTTGACGCGGATGTGCACTTAGCTCCTTTTACGAGATAGACCGGTGCCGGGCACCAAGACGCTTGGATCAATAAGGCAGCAACCTTGCGATCGGTGCCGATGGTGCGACCAAACTTTCGGTTTTCATACCGACGCAGAGAACATCTGTGCTTATGTGTTCACTTTTCAATGTCTCCTATACTTTCAGACGCATACGTATATCCTAAAATTAGCTAACTAAATCGCCTGCACTTTAGAATAATACTGTACTTCAAAATAGTACTTCAGAATAATACAAGAGTAATAGTAGAATGTATCCACTGATACTGAGAATGTGTATATTAGGCGTAGAAATGAATTCTGGGCCTCTCTATTCAAATCATTTCTAACACTAGTCTAAACACATATAATTAATTGTAATTTTGGGATATTAAAGTACCAACCTTCTGTAAGTCCTCAACCTGATCTCTACACAACCTGAGGTCGTAGAATTAATTTCCATGCCCAATGCATATTTGTACAATGAAGTTACTAAACTACTTTCCTACTAATTTAATTTATCAGTATTTATCGATCACCTTCATCTATTTCAATATCTGTCAGATTAGATGGGTTAGACTGCAACACCTTGTTCAGCGAACCTCGCCCTGTTTCCATATACAATCCATAACTCCATAACTCAATCAACTCGGTATCAATTCACTTCTATCTGCTTTTTACTTTTATAAAGTCGTTAAACGAAAATAAAGTAAAATTCCGTCGCGTTATAAGTTGAATCGTTAAATAAACACGTCCTGTTGGCTATCGATCGCAAGTTCAATGACTTTGTGCGCTGTACGCAACTTTATACAGCAGAAAATTAATTTGCAGAGCTGGCGAACGCGAACGAACTCGAATTTATGAAATAATAATTCAAGTACGACAAACACAATCTAAAGAAATATTGAAATTGTCACGTAGCGGTGTATTAAAGGCATTATCGCATGAAAAGGCGGTAAAATCGATGCAGCACCGCAGACTCCGTCAACGCTACTCTTACAAACGGTTGAACGAGACCATAATTCACAAACATGATCAGTTTGCTATAATAACAGCACTTGAGTGATGTTTGCATCAATAAATGCCTGCATATGGTTCACGAACGCGCATTGGCGCCGATTACTTTACAATTACATAAAAGTCATCTAATCTCGAATGGTAATTATCGAGTGAATGATTACTCGACTGGATCCGCTTTCTGTATCGCGAATGCCTGATTTTTCTTTTTACACAAACAAAACGTGACATTTAACCGACCGTATATCTTTACATAACGTTTAATTTAAACGAAAATGTATATTACAGTTCGTAACACGGTTGACCTCTGAAAACGATTTACGACTTCGTTGTATGCATACATTGTCACGTAGAACTGGAATATCATCGTGTAAGATGAAGACTCTTGCTAAACGGAAAGTAATAAATGAAAAGGTAACGATACCAATTATCGATCCCGTAAAAGTACAGATACAATTGTAACGTGAATTCTAATGTCGTTGGATAAATGTTAGCTATCGCGTGTTCGTACTTAAATATATAAATACGATTCATTTATTCGATGATGCTGCACGTAACAGTAGACAAGCCGGTCGGAAGCTCGCTCTACCTACATTTGCGTCTAAACGATCCGTTCTACGTAATTTCGCTACAGAATGGTAACCCGATCGGTTAAACGAGTCCTTGTAAACGAGTTCGGAAGGATAACGACGAAAATAGAGAATGGTAAACTGACCTGCAGGTGAATGGGCACTTTCTTCACCGGTGTGCTCATCTTCGATCGAAATTGGGAATGACGTTTGCCACGGAAAAAAAGCGAATTACTGGGTTCTGCTCCTCCACGATATGCACCTCGCGACGAATTGCACGAACACTGACTTTTACGGAAAACGCTACTCGCTGGCACGAAGTTCAGTGGAAAATCAAAATACGCAAGAACGAATCGAACAATCGACTGCGACTGACGCTACGTGTGCGCGTCGTGCGACGGTGGTAAATTTGCTCTCCCACTACAACTCCCCCCGTTTTGGCAAAGTGGGGATCATCCCCACTGCAGATGGTTCACATGTCCTGCGACAGTGGTCATGGTGCATTTAGGAGAGGGTAAGAGAGCAATTGAACCCCATGCTATGAGTAATTATTGTATATGCAAAGGTAAAAGTAAATAATGTTGTTAAATGATACTACAATAAACGAGAAAGGTTTTAGCTGTCGATATATACATGATCGTAGTATATGAATATACGTAATTGAACGATGATTTCAACGAAACTATATATTTTAATTTTGAATTCTGAAGTCAATGAACTTTTTCTTTGTTTTCTCTAACTGTGAGTGCATTTAAAATGTACTATGTTTGGTTTTAATTCTAGTGGCGCCATCGGTGGTAAAACGTCCAAGTTTGTATTGAAAATAGTTCCCACTGTTGCTAGTAGATGGCGTTACTAAATACAGGATCGATCATTAACATTGTATTAAATAAATATCCATAACAATAACTAAATATGACATCCAAACTAATATATAACTAAAACTAAAACTAAAAAGAAAAATAAAAACTAATTTAAAAAAATGTCATTGCGCCATCTAGCAGCAATAGTGTGAACTATTTTCGCTACCAACTTGGGCATTTTCTCACTGATGACGCCACTAATTAAATAGTCGATAATTATTCCTGCATTAAATAACTATTTATAAGAATGATAAATTTGACATATTAACTAATGTATTGTAGTGTTATAAAGCAAAGAATCGTATTACTTATGCATTTATGAAAAATAAAGAATCATTTTTTAAAATGTATCAGTGGCGCTATCTTATAAAAACGGTGGAAACTATTTTCACTACAAGCTTGGGCGTTTTCCCACCGACGACACCACTAGTATTAAAACCAATATTATTACACTTTGAATAAAGCCAAGCCAAATATTATTATTATTCTATAATTGTTACCATGTTTGGGAGGGAAAAATTTGTAAGCTCACGTAATATACACAGATATGAAAAATACATTGAATATGTATGATCATGTCATAATGTTATGATAAATTGCAGGGAAATATTAATTGTTCACCATCATAAACTGAATTTTACCTACGAATCCATAATAAATACAGTTTTTAAATAATTGAATTTCATTTCTGTCATAATTTAAGTAAAAAATAGGTCTAAAAATCGAACACATTCCCGCCTGAAATGTATATTTAACTATATATATCGCTATTTCCGTTTCAACATGGCTATTCGTTTACATATGAAGCATGATTTGTCTGAAGCAAAAGAGAATGTGTTGCATTTAATGCCATGCAAGATTAACGGTGACGAGTCAGCGAATGTTTCCTCTTATTTTACACCGTATATTCGAAAAATTGACGATGAACGTAAGTTTGTTAAATGTAGACTTTTCTTTAGTGTAACTTGGCATTTATATACAAATATAATTCTCCAAACAATATCTTCGAATAGTATAAATACAGAAACACTGTGTTCATGTCAACAATTGAGGGATCATAAACTCTTTTTTTGAGAATTATATCATTGCTCTAAAGAAGTTTAAGGTTAAAATAGGAATTATTTTCTCTACAGATTATAATTCTTCATTTCGTGGATATCCACTTCAAGGCAAAAAGATAACAATACCTTCAGGATACAAAGGAATTACGTTTCTTGAACACAAAAAACCTGAAGTGGAAAATGTAGAACGCAATTTGTATTCGACAGGAACATTTTCATATTTTACATATTGGAATTATGATAAACTACCATCCAAGAATGATGCTTTAGCAGCAGCAATCGATTGGATTGACATTGCTGAAGCAGTAAGTTGCCAAGTAATGATAAAATCAAATGTTCTAATTAATTAATTGTTACATCTTCTTTCAGCTACATTCTACAGAGCCATAATTAAAATCATGAATCCCAACATAAGATATTATTATTGTAATTAAGTTTGTAATGATTTTTGTATTTTGATATAAAGAAAAACGAAAATAAATATTTTATATATATATTATAGTTTATTAACCATATTTTATATCATGAGCATATATTTTGTCGTACATAACAGACATCTTATAATTCCTTATGAAATATGTAAACATCGCAAATGATCTTTGGTTTAATTAGGAAAGCTGTTTCAAAAGTGCGCAGTCTTTTATAGGATAAATAGTACATTTGAAATTCGTTTTCTTATTTTTGTAAATATATAAAAGTTGCAATTAAGATGTAAGCATTATTTATCATTATTTTAGCACAGAAAATTTTTCCTTGTTATATGTGATACTGCTAAATATACTATACATATCTATTTTTTAATATTGATTTTAATGACATTAGAAATAGAATATTAATTATAAATTAACACTCAATGGAATATGGTTTTTAGTAAAAGTTATCTTCGTGTAATATTAAATAGCTGCTTGTTTATGGTCATGTTTGTATAAAATTCATATAAAATGCATTTGTTGAAACTATGTAAAGTACATTGGCAGTCCTACAAATTTGTAATGATTATTTGTAAGAAATATTGCATACATGCGTAGTTCCTACCATCATTTTTTATACATGCATATACGTACATAAATAGAAAAGTTAAGATAATTTTGTTTTCATGTACAATGGCAGTATTTAAAGATAAAAGAACCTTTCTCTCCAATGCCACAGAATGATATACTTCAAAATAAAAACCATCCAAAAGTTTCTCCTATTAATGTAACATTTGTAAATGTACCTCAAAAGAGGTATTAAATACGTTTTGGTATATAACAATACTAAAAATCACCTCAAAGTTATAAAACTTTAAATAAAAATCATTATAAAAAAATAACAGTGCTTAAAAACAAGTCTATAATATGAATTAAAATACTTTTGGTGAACGAGTACTGTAGTATACATTTATCGAATATTTCACTATAAAATATGTTCTTACTCCTAAAGGTTTTCTTCTGATCACCCTACAAGACCTATTTACAACTGCATTACATTTCTAATACTCAGCTAATCTAAAAATATGTCCACCATATATCACTTCACTTCATGTTAGCAAAAGCACCCTAATGTTCGTTTATAAAATTAAGAAGTGAGTTAATGATATTTCGTGTCGCTAGTAAAACAAAGAAAATCACATTATTCTAAACATCGTTTTGTCAAGAAGTCATTTTGAAAGAAATATTCTTATATTGGTGCTACTATTCCATTTAGATGCATCTTAAAGTACTAAAATTACATATACATAATAAATAATTTGCAATTTGTTCTACTATTGCACAATGTTTGTTTTGTACCCTGATTTTTTAGGTGTGCCTCGTTTATCATAGTTGGGATTACTACTGAAATTAAAATATATATACTCATTGTTTAAAGTGACAAAACTTGGTAAGAATTGTTTGGCAGTAAACATGGTAAGTTTAAATGCAAAATCTGTTCTTATAACATAAAGTACATGTAAAACTCCTTATATTGTCCATATTGGCAATTTTTTCATAACCCTGTATCAAAGTTATCCTTTAATTAAATACTATATAATTATACTAGCACAAATATTTTTGATCTGTCTAATTCAGTACATAAAAAAAGAAGTTGAATAATTTTACTATCACACAACAAGTCAACATAAGTCTGACAAATTTCAGTAATTTGTATGTAGCTTATAATTAATTGTATTATACATATATTAAATTTGTGCGCTTTTAAAATTGCTACTTAAAAATTATTTGTAAATCTGATTATGAAAATGTGCCTAATTCATTTGTTTGTTCTTGATGGTACTTGTTTTGGTCTTGTTGCTGTTTAATAAAAGCACTCAATCTGTTAAGCAAAAATTGCTTATCATGACCTTCTAGTACCAACTGATTCTTTAAAACTGTAACCATGTGCTGGTTTGCTACTGATACTGCGTAATAATAATATAGAAGTAGTATAAGGACTATAAAAGCTGGTAGACCAAATCCAGCAGTGCCAAGGAAATACAAAATCGACTGAAGCCAATCTGGGAACTGTGAGAACATTAAAATCAGTAAACTCCATACAGATTGAAAACCTCTGAATGGGCCACAAGATTTTGATGGCATTATTTCTGCAATAGAATAACCAACTGGGATCGTACACAAAATGAAAGAAATTAATAAAATAAACATAAAAAGTGAATGTGATTTGCTTGCTCTATAAATTTTACTTGATGGAGTACTGTTTACCAGACAAGTAAATTTCTTGATATAAAATAACAAAAAAGTACCAACTACTGTGACTAATGGCAATAAAGGTGCAAAAAAGCAACCAAGCCAACAAATAGTCTGTAAATAAACAACATCTAACACATGCTTAGGTAAATCAAATTCTTGCTCTCCAAAGAATCGTAGCACTTTGTTTTCTGTATGCTTTGCTATTAACGATCTAGGGAAATTAACGAAAAACGTCATGATAAACTGGAGAAAAATATCAGTAATGTAAAGCTTGAAAAATTGTTGACCAACAAATGTTTCCCAACACAATGGCCGTCGACTAGCAGTATTAGTACACTCGTTGTCCGGTATTTCGTTTGCAATTAATCTGTAAAATGATGCGAGTAGAACACCGAGAGCAGAAAGCCGTAAGAATATAGTTCTGAAAAGAGTTATGCGTATAACGAATGCTGGACTATAATTCTCTAGAGTTACTAAGTATCGAAATAGAAATGGTACTGCAAAATTTAAAGCGACGATACATGTATATGGAAGAAACTCGAAAAATAACTGAGCGATTTTGCTTAATGATACATATCCTACAGTGTAACTTTGAACTGCATGCTGTGAGACTTGATCGAACGAAAATTCAAATACGTAATAAATAAATGTGCCACAACCGCATAATACTGCCAGAACAATTAAATTAATGAACAAACGCATAATAACGTATTTCGTTTTCTCTTCTCTTGTTCGATTTTGTCTTTCCTCCTCCAATCTTTCAGTCTCTAAAAATCCTTTCATCTCGTTATATAATGCTTTATGTTTTACAGCTGCAGACTTTTCGTTATGTATACAGTAATCCCAACCACCAAAAATTAAATTGCAATATTTATAAAATTGACCTTCGTTTTCCACGACTCTCTGTTTAAAGCCTTTAGCGGCTGACTTAACAATCGCTACCAAACTAAGAATGAATATACCGATGGTAGCGCAAATATAAGATAATGGTAAATTATAAAACATACCAGAGGTATCGTAAGAAATACGAGTGTACGCGCCGTAAAACAATAAAGTGTATTCTAAAATACCAGAGCCCTGTACAATATCTGTTAAACTGCTACTTCCCTCAGTTATATTCCAATACGCCTCTGAACAACAAGATATGCTGTGACTGTTGTTAGAATTTATGCACGACTCTTCTTCCGGCACGTCGAATAATATTGCGGGTAATACGATAAATAAGAACATAACCGAGAATAAAAGAACATTAAGATACATCAACCACTTGATGAATAAAAAGTATGCTACTATCCCCATTCCAAAATTTCCTCCAATCGTTTTAAGGCTATCATTCCACAGTTCCAGTTTCGAATATGCTTCCTTCATTCTGATGCGAAATTGTTGCCAAGCTTTCCTTCTTTGCCATTTCAATTGTTCAAAACCTTGCAACCTCAATTTTGTAGCACTCTGAAATCCATGGCATTTGTATTAGTTTATTTTAATTGTATGTATTTTAATTTATTCTTTTATCATTATATTTTTTTTAACATACTTGTAACTGATTCTTCAATTGTATCTTTTGTGCCATGCACACAGGCATAGCCTTGATTTGCATTATTTCTTCCCAAGTGCGTTCTTCGTTAGATAGATTTTCAGACAAGTCTGGTAACATAGACACAGCAGCATCATGGATATTTGTTGACATACGCCTGGATGTAGTTGTACCTCGAGATCTTGTACTAGTGCGTCTTCTCAATGTTGTCTTGGTATCATTACGTATTCGCTTAGCTGTAGCTGTTAGGAAAAGATATTGACATATTAATTTATTTGTAATATTTATTATTTAAAAAGACTTACAATATTGTAATACCTACCAACACGGGACTTTTTACTTGGTAGCAGGGTGGCTATATGAGAAGGATCCCTTTGTAACACTTGCTGTAAATCTGCCTCAATAGCTGCAGGGTAACTTTCCTGATAAAATTCAGCACCGGCCTCTTCCCAGCCTTGCCCCCTGTCGCAAGCACGTTTTTTCCGTTCTCCACCAGACATCCTTCTTTTGTATTGACACTTGCAATTATATACGTATAACTTTCTTCAGAAACCTTTGTTGCAAAAATTTAAATAGACATTATTCTAACATCTTTGTATGATTATTTGTCTCAATAATTCTTTAAGTAGACATTTAATATCACATACACGCATTTACAGATGATGTATACATGTGTCTAACAACAATCATTAATTCAAATAACAAACTATAAAATTACGAATATATTGATACATACACATTCGTGTATATTTACCTGAGATAAATCATTCGATCAAGTATCCTGCAAGTGCGTCATTGCTCGATGACACATATTTTCCTTTTATACTGATCAATAACAATGCTTATAAAAAAATAACGCTTTGATGAACAAAATACCGACGTTTACAACTCGAATGACACATAGATTACACCGTTTTGTAAACTGTGACGTATTTAGAGGTTGCGCGAAATGTTTAAACGATATATTAAATCACATCAACGTTAAATTCAACATTTTCGTATATCGAAACTTTTGATTTTCGAAGACGAATAAAGCAGAATAAACACGGCAATTCATCCAAAAAACACTTATCGGCATTTTGTTTTCGCATATATCAAATTCGTTGTAGTCCACAGACGGCTGATAAGAGAACACTGAGGCATAAACTAAAAGGAGTGTAGGGGGTACTGTTCTAGTCACAGCTGACATCGAATTAAAAAAATTATTTTATTACTGTACAACTATAAATTGTTGAGATTACAATTAAAATTATTATTCAGCAGGTAAAAGATACAGAAATTGTTCAAAAATTTGTTTTTATATGGTTTTTGGTATGTACATTCATACAGAATATAAATCAATACATAATTACTAATAATACATAATCACAATTTATGTTTAGTAAAATATTTTATACAATTAATTAAAATGATTAATTTTATAACCCTAGACACATTACATGACAGAAACTGTTAATTTCAATAGATTCAGTACTCTTTCATAATACAAAAAATTCATATTTACAAATTGCAAGTACAAATACTTAACCAGAATGAAACTAAGCAGTCTAAAATATGCGTTCATAAATAATGATTGTAATTTCTATGAAACAATATAATTTATATATATTGAAAATAGTATCGTAATCTTTAATTTATTTTTAATTTAGAACTATCACACTGAATTACTTTATATCTCGTATAGTACCTATTTAAATGTATGGCATGAAGTATATAAACAATTAAGCGTCAATATGTGATGTAGAAGTTAATATCATCGTATTCTTAGTATTGTCGTCCTCCTCTACCTCTGCCACGGTTATATCCACCGCGTTGATAGTTATCTGTGCTAGAATTATTTCCTTGATTCCATCCTCCTTGAACTCTACCGCCTCTACCTCCGCCGCTGGAACCACCTCCTTGATATTGTTGTCCACGTTGATTGTCTGATTGTGAACCAGAGCTTGCATTGCTTGGGTAACAGTATCGATGACCACTTCCTGAATATTAAATCAATAATTTGAAATCTTCTGTCCTCATATTTTTTTTTTAAAGTCATTACCTCCGCTATCTTTGTTTTCTCCGCCGTAACTATTATTTCCACCTTGTCCTCTATAATTTCCTCCTTGTCCGCCGCCATAATTTCCTCCTTGGCCTCCTCCATAATTTCCTCCTTGGCCTCCTCCATAGTTTCCTCCTTGACCTCCTCCATAGTTTCCTCCTTGACTTCCTCCATAGTTTCCTCCTTGGCCTCCTCCATAGTTTCCTCCTTGGCCTCCTCCATATCCACCTCCTTGACCACCCCCATACCCTCCCCCTTGACCTGCTCCATATCCACCTCCTTGACCACCCCCATATCCACCTCCTTGTCCACTCCCATAGTTTCCTCCTTTTCCTCCTCCATATCCACTTCTTTGACCACCTCCATGCCCTCCATATCCTCCTCCGTGTTTTCCTCCATGTCCTCCTCCTTGTCCACCAAATCCACCGCTATTAGAGGAATAATTCGAACTCTGAGATCCACTGTCTCCAAAACTACCACCACCTCCATATGATCCATGTTTTTGACCTCCTCTATTATCATTAGAAAAAGATGCATTAGATCCACCTCCTCCGCGTCCTCTGTAACCACCTCCTCCTCCTCCTCGACCTCCACTGAAATAAAAATATCGCGAACGTATATACATTTATTCCAAATTTTTTTTTTCTAAAATTATTTTTGTTACTTTCGACTAACCCAGAAGTTGTAGGTCCTTGTACTCTATCTTTCTGCCATGGTGGCATTTCAGGTGGTGGTGGTTCTTGTTCATATGGTCTTCCACCTCTATCTGGTACTGTTCCAATGATAACCGAATTAATTTCGCTTCGAGTATTTTTCCTAACGCTCGCATTGCTTGTTTTCTCCATTAACGCAATGTCGTCTCTTGCGGCTAATAAATCAGCAAATGTAATATCGGGTTCTGCGCTTAAAAATTTCCTAGTGTCCTCGTATTGTTTATTTATTTCAGTTTCTCGACATTTGACCCTGTCTGACCACTACATACAAAAATAAAAAAACGTAAATGCCTTCATTTACATTAAACTATTTATTTATACTCACCAGAAATGATTGTACTGTTACGTCGAGTCGTTTAAGTAACATATCGCGACGCATTCTATATTCGTCATGTAACTCTTGTTGTAGAAGTTGAAGATCTTTCCATTCCCTTTCTGTGAATTCTGTAGTAATTAATGGTTGACCTACAAGTTCAGGTGGTACTTTTTTTAACACTTCAGTTAGCTTGCCTTCCAGTCTTGTAAAAAGCTTTTCAACAGTAATATCATCTGGTGGTTTCCCAAAATTTAATGCTATTAACATGTCTTTCAGATCTTTGGCTGTGTCACTCTCCTCCTGCAAATAATATGGGTCATATTATTAAAAAACCTGTAAGTATAGATCATCTTGATCTTATTTTTGTAATAGAAACTTACAACATCAACATCCATGGAATTAGAGGTCTTATGTTTTTGAAATTCTAGTAATCTAGAAGTCTTTAATTCTGCTCCCAGAAAATCTAATAAAATGTACCTATTTTCTTTACTTCCCAATCGGTTATTGGCATTACCAGACATTAGGGATTCATTCACACATCCTAATTCTTTTAAGAAACAGTTTAATTCTAATAGGAAAGAGCTAGAATCTTCCGGTGACATTGTTGGATGAACAGTTTCATCCATCTCATAAAGTATTGCAATTTCATTTGTCAACCATGCTACAAGTTTTGTAAATTGTGGCGATTTTGGGCCCTGTTTTAAGGCCGCTGTAAATTTATTTGGATCTGTTAACTCTCCATTGTACCTAAATAATAGTAAATTTCGTCAAATGTTAAGATTATATACAAATTTCATATTTAAAATATTAAGATTAACGAATAAATTTGTGTTATTTATGTAAGTTCATCTAGACGTTAAATTTCTTTTAAAAGTTATTAAAGGTTCAGTATTAGACTATAACCTCGAACTGCTTACCCAAGTTTCTGCAATTTATCCAACAATTTGAGTTCCATTTTGAAGAGTCCTTTGATAAATAACTAAACTTAATTATTACTAATTATAAAATTCATCAATAAAGTAAAAATAAAACATACTTACAATGAAAATGTAGAAAAATGAAGTGTAACGTACTTTCTTACCGTATGCAAACGTATGTGTCGTAACTGTATTGATGTGTATGTGCTGTCATGCCAGTCATGCGGTCATGTACAGTACCACACTTGATCACAGACATACTACTTCAGATCTATAGATCATGTAAAATATATAAGCTAAACTGAAAAAAAAATTTTTAGATTTCCATGGTTCTTTAAACTATATATGATTACAAACTTATTATGAGAAGAAACAATGAAATATACAAAAAGATTATACTATTCGTCTTACCTTTTATTTTTGTAATTTTTATGAAATAAATCATAAAAAGTAGGATTTCTAACAACTTCTATTATTAGTTTTTCTATGATTGTCATAGAAATGCAAATTTAAAATGCTGAACAATATTATTTAGTAACTAATAACTCGTTCGAATAGTTGATCCGACTATAAATAATTTAAAAAGAAAAAAATATAATCAATTATTCTTACATTTAAAAAGAAATAGAAAATAAATGTATACCAGAAATAATAAATTACATACATTACATTATCTCCGAATATATAATTTATGATTTACATTGTCATATTGCATAGTAAATTTACAATATGATTTATAACACAGCCTTCTCTTTTAGAATCGGTTGTGTTTATAATTTTTAATTTCTACCAGAAAATCCGCAATAGGAAGAATGAAATAAAATTACACCATGGTTATAAAAGTAAAAATATGTAGATTTTTAGTGTATTACGTGTATCATACTTACAAAGTTAATCTTAAACTAATGGATAATTAACATTACAATTGTTATGTACAAATATTTTAATTCGATGAAATATATCGAAATAGTCGTGGTAAATATTGTTTTCTGAACTTCCGACATAGAAGTAATTATTGCCATTTGGATTAAATAATTTATTAATACTGGCATAACTTTAAATGCCAATGATTCTCGTAATCATCGCCAGTAATTTTACATTTATATATTTCCAATATTATACAATATTGTTTATACAATGTTAATAAATCATACAAATATGATATGTTTCATCTTAATAAACATTATTGAATTTTACACCTGCTTTTAAGTACATGGACAAAATAAAAAAATGTGACAAATTTATTTATAGATTTTGTTAACAAATGATAAAATTAGATATTTTACTAGTATCTTCAGCATAACATTGAAAAAGCAATTTTATAATTTAATACCCTGCACTTTTATAATACAGAAATTGAAAACTTCCGTAAGCATTGTGAGTTTTTGTAAAAGTTTTTCAAAAGTTACATATGTCCCTTAAAATATAATAAAATAATGTACACAAAAACCTATTTAATACATATTATTGTGCACATCAGAATTCAGTTTACAGGACTCTAATTGACTGGCAACTTGTACATTTAGTTAGATGTATACACATAAATATTATTCTAATATACATTTAAATTTACTTCTAATGGTGCTTTGGCAAATAAATTTTCATAGCACCATAAAAGTGCAATTTCATCGTGAAGCATGTAATTTTAGCTAACTTTTGTACTACTTCAACCCATTTATACTTCAACCATGAAATGCAAAATATTAATTTTTGTCGGTAGAAATTCAATAATATTTCTGAATGAAAACAATTTTGCTAAATATAATAAATAAAAATGTTTTTCTTTCATTTCTATAATATTAATCTACATATTCAATATTACACAAGTCAGTAGCTTAATTCAGTCATTTTTTCAAAATGAAGTTAACGAGGCTGTACAATTTTGTAATATTTTCTGACTGATAAAATCGGTCAGTTGACAAATTTTTGTATTCTTACAGTTTGTACATATCAATCTAAAAAACCTGAATTTTGAATTTCACGCTTATCATACAATCGAATAATTAATTCTCTATATTGCCTTCATAGAAGGACTCACATTTTTCTAACAAACGTAGAACTGGATTTATGTTATAAGGAAACAAAGCCTTAGATACTAATCTATCAATTGCTAAACGAAGTCTTATCAATATTGTCATGGTGTTGTCTAGCTCTCTTCCACAACAAGAAACAAACTCTGTCCAGTTTCTTTTAACATATTTCAAGAATCTCAATAAGTATAATAAGAAACAGGTTTCGTTGCTAACGAGTAAATCTAGAAGAACGTCTGGATCATGTGATACAGCATGTACAAATTGAATAAAAGTTAGAGTTGGACTGAGCATGTGACCAAGATCGTTTTGTGGAGGTCCTCTATAAAATAGGCCAACAGCTACATCCAAACAACACACCATTCCTTCAATCAGAAAGTCATCTTGATCGTGGAACATTTGTACAACCCACTGGGATAAAGGCATTTCAGGATGAAATGGCATTAATGTTTTTACACACTGATCCAGTTGTCGTAAAACTTCTCTTATGCTTCTTTCAATAACTGCCATATCAGCATCAAGATCCTCTGCTTCAGAACCCAGGGAGGAGTCACTAGAATCGCTGCGTGTCTCTTTAACAGTCACGGCAACACCTTTTAGAACTAAAAGCACGATCTTTTGCAAAAGAGGACGATCACCTTCTCCTGAACCTCCTCCAAATCTTCCAGAACCATGTCGATATGGTAAAGCATCTAATAATCTCCAATCTTTTACGGCACGCACAATGAAGTGTGCAAGAGAGCAAGGCTCGTCTGGAAGTACATCTTGCAATGCCAATGTGCTTCCATAACATAATACTTCGTTAAATAATCCAAGTAGATGTCTCCAAATCACACCAGGAACATTGGCATTCAAAAGTACAACCAGATTATCTAACTGAGAATAAAAAAGCTTGGTGTCAATGACAGACAAATTAGCTTTTACGGAAATAATTGACTCCCACAAATCAAGAAATGTGATAACAGCTGATTCGTGTTGAGGTGTGTACGAGCTCAGAATGGCATCGAATTTTGATACTAATATAGTCCATTTAGATTCTAATGCTTTCACGCACATCGCTTTTACTGGTGTACTATCAAAACTTTCTGCATCTGAAATTGTTATCGTATTACAATGTGTTGGTTGTGTTATACTATCTGTATCCTCAAGGGGATGAACACTGCAGTCCTTATGCTCTACAACTCTTTTTACAACATCCAAAGTGAACAACATTTGACTTGGAGAATGAGTATTCACCAAAGATTGCGTAAGTCTCTCTAACCAAGCCGTATCAATATTTTCCTTTGTTACAATAAAAAAAGATGCAAGAACTCTACTAGCAGTAAACGATATGAATTTGTTTGTTGTACACGATAGGTCAATTATTTGATCTATAATGCCATGCTCGTTTCGCGCCAGCGCATCACAAACATCTACCACTCTTCTACACATTAAACCTCTGGTGTTTTGCTTGATAGCCAAATCAAACAGAAGCTGTAAAGCGCTTAGAAATTCTAAAGTTTGATCAGGTCCCCACTCTGATAATAACGAAGATCGAAAACTGCCATCAGCTGCTTCCACAGTAGCACTAGTGAACGGTTTGCGCAAACTGCTCTCAGGTATGTTACATAAGCATTGTGCCAACAGGCTATTCTGAAGCTGCTCGATATCCGATAACGTATTCCTCTCGACATCATTATTTTCAATGCGTTGTTTTTTCTTCGCTGGTTCCTCCATCGTGTTGTTAGGAGGACAACAATAACAGTGCCAAAGCACCATTAGCAGCACTATACTTGCTGCTTTCTGTTCTTGGTCCGCAATGTTCTTTCATCAGGTAATCTTCATAATACGTACAATGTGCCAATGAACAAAATACCATATAAATAATGGATGTGACACAGCATACATTAGCTTATTGTATTTATGTAAGCCATAAATATTTCAGCAAATACAATGTACCTGTATTGACAACAACAAAAATTTCATAGGTACATAATACTTGCTTGTTATAAAATAATTTTTCAGATCGAAAAATGTGATAATAATTCGAAAATTTTGTCGAGTGATACTCTGAATAAATTATGATAACAGTAATAATATCAAAATAGATAACAATATTACAACTTACGCAAACAATTGGTTCACGCTTTAAATTTCGACACTTTGCGGATGTATGCAAAAATGTACATGTATATGTTTACATATTCATTCGTACAAAGATGTACACATATATTCGTCCTGCGTCGATTAATCGATCAATTAATGCACGACATCCTCTTAATTGGTTTCAAATTGCATTCTTTTCCAGATATGTTCGTAAAATACCAAGCATGAAGTGTTTAACACAGGTTGCACATGTAATATATAAACCGACGCTTGCTGATGCGATAATTTACACAGAAAAAGATTCTCTGCCGATACTTCGACGGACAGTTAAATATATCAGATGTATATCGGAGAGCACTCTTTCAGAGTTACACCGTGTTTCACTACTTAAACAGTGTAAATATATTATTGTTTGTGCCCGAAGAATTTCTTTTGACTAGGAAGTGACAGAGCACTCGACCACTTTGCCCTGTTGCCACGTATACATGCTACCGAGTAAAAATAAGAAATACGGTTTTAAATCGTTTAACCGTGAATGTATCCCCGTAAAACAGTTCATATCTTATGTCAAGCGGTAAAATGTTAATCCGATAATGCGTAAGACACGAATTTTTCATGTTTATTACGTATTTTTCGGGTGGCATCATGCAGAGCTGCGTAACACAGTAGCTCCTCCTCGCACATTCCACAATGTACTGAGTACGAATTATTCGAATTACTTGATCAATTGCATTGTAATTGCGATCAATCCTCGTTAAATATTCCGTAAACGACTATCCTAAGATTTTTCTTAATAAAAGTAGTCGAAATCAAAAAATCGTGTAATAAATAGACGAGATGATCGGCAACTCTGCATCGACTACAGCGCCACGCAGTTTGTGTATGTTTGTCGTGTAATTGGTATTTTAATGATTCGTCTAGTTCACGCCTAATTATCTTTTATATTTTGTACAGATATACCAGCAGGAAAACATTTTAAAAATATCTAGTAGTATAAAATATTGCTATATTTATTTAATACGAACAAAGTATAACAATACTGATATTGCATAGTCAAATTCATATTTTCTAAAAGTAGATTCTAAAGTTGAACAAATCAAACTACTCTATATAGAAACAAATTGCTTGTAATATGAGCTTTA